AGGAACTCCAAAAGGAGGCTATTGTTTCCCCTCTTCTCCTCAGACCTCTTCATTTTGGGGAGGAAGGTGTGATTGCATAATGGTTACAGGGTTTCTTTTAGGGGTAGCGTAAGTGTTTTGGAACTGAAGATGTTTCTGTAATTTTTAACTTGTTGGGCATTGGGGGTTTCACACAGCACTGCTGTAAAATTTTGGCACCACAGGTGAGTGGCAGTATGCCCATTTTTGCCCCCTTGTTGGTATTTTCCCATGTGAATCACAGCCATGCTGGAGCCACATACAAGCAGTGGCTCTATCCTCTTTATCCATTCATGTATGTGAGGTCTGCTGGCTTATGTGGCTGCCTCTGCCCCTCAGGCAGGCATCCGTGTCTGATACAGCTTACTTCATCTAATGTGTCTATGATACCAGTACCTCTCTGTACAGTTGTTGGTACACCTTTATGAGCTTTACCAATGGTTTCTTTATGTCCAACAATCCAGTTGCAGTTGGGTGTGCAGTTAGGTTTATTTCATGGTTGGAGATTGAGCAGTTTAGTTTTGAGCATATACCTGTTATTCTTTAGCATTCCTTTGTTCCTCAGAGGGAAGATTTATCCCCTGTTCTGTGCATCAAAGTTGGCCAATCCCCATTCACCCATGTCTCATCAGATCTTTCGTTTCCATCTTTGTTGTAAAATATGAATGCTGTGGCTATGTCGAGTCAAGGCTCTGGAATAATCTTTCTTCAGACACCATTCTGCACTGTCTATTCCACATGACCACGTGTAATGACATCAGAATCAGACTGACCTTAAAACTCACAGGTGTAGAGGGTTCACAGGAGTTGAGGGCCAATCAAGGAAAAAACCAAGAAGTGCAGTTATATATGCATGCTTTATTGGGTGACACTTTTACAGGTTTGCATGTGGGAGATGTTCCTCGTAGCAAGAATTTGTTCAGGTGTTATGAAGTGGGGGTCCCTACTCAGAAGGGAAATAAAGCAGGGGAACTCATGGGGGGAAAGAGAATTGAGGAGGTAACTTATGTGTCTAGCTGATGTCACTCAGCAGCCCAGTGGGGGGAAAACTCTGGACCAGGGAGCTCCAAAAAGCAGTGGTAGCTTGGATTCTTTTTGGCCTGTGACTTATCTATTGTTAGAAGATGCTGGGAGCAGTTTCATGGGGTAGGCAAATTAGGCGGGCTCTTAGTGGCTAAAAATCTGCTTATTTGAGCTGTGTTTAAAAAATTGGATGTACAAAAACTTGAGTTTGGAGACAATAGGATTTGTGAGCTAACAAGTAAAGACATAAAACATTTAGAGGCCACCTTTGCCTCATTTTATATAACAGGACATAATAAACATATCCTAACATTAAGACATTCAGGAGCATACAAGATCACAAACAAAGTATATTATTATGATGGAAACTGTTGTATCTTCAATAAGAGTCTTCATAAGGAACTAGGTATAATGATGTAACCCCCAGGAGTGTAGTCATTGTAAAGGATGCAACCAAGTGCTTACAGGTTATTCCAGAATAGGGGAGTCCCATACACAACAGCATATCTTTTATGAGACCATGAGCATAGATTTCTAATCTGCACAAGGGTGACATTCAGTTACAAAAGAAAGACTTCCCCAAAAGTTTTTATCTCACACTCAGTTCTCAAAACTTGAATGCTATTCACTAATCAGGAGTAATTTTTACAATAAGGATGTTGTCTTTTAACACAATTGATACTCTATATTTATCTCAACCTAGAAGTTTACCAAAATAAATTGACAAGGTAATTGTCCCAGAAAGAAAGAGTTCAGACCTATTGTTAATGATTATCAGAAAGGAGCTCATATTAGACCATGGGAGTTTTCTATAATGCCAGCTTTGAATGAATTGATACTAGTGTGTAGTTTCATTCTCTGATTTTATATTTGTTTTCTAGATCTCATCTTCCTTCTCAAGATCCTTTCTCTCTAAAGTCTGACCGCGCTGAAGAAGCAAGATGGCAGAATCAGATTCTACTGACTTTGACCTGCTGTGGTATCTAGAAAATCTCAGTGACAAGGAATTTCAGAACTTTAAGGACCATCTGGAACGAGAGCCTCCACAGTTTGAACTGCCACAAATTCCATTTCTTAAGCTAAGGAAGGCCAAACGAGAAGATGTGGTTAATATATTAACAACTTCTTATGAAGAACAGCACATCTGGAATATAATATTCAGCATATTTCAAAAGATCCATCGTAAAGATCTCTGTGAGAAGATCGATGCTAGACGAAACCGTGAGTGGGGTCATTAGAAGGGTGGGTAGGGATCAGGGGACAGTTTGCAGGAAGCTTGATTGTTTTGATAGATGACTTTTTCATTCCCAAAGAGTCAGTCTTTAGATATGGAAGTCCTAAGAGGACTGGTGATGGATTGAATGTGGGTTGTGTCCTATCTTGTGACTTTCGATTCTCCTCCTATTTTCTGCCTTCATGCTAACTGGCTTTTATGAATGCAGCCAGCCAAAGGATTAGAACCATTCAAAGAAAGTGCTTAAGCTAGGGTAGATCTCCAGCATGAAGCTTTGTCCTAGAACTGTAAGATCTAGCCAAAGAAATGTATGGGCCTGCACATTCTTTGTATGCAATGAATTATGCAGAGTTATACTAGGTACCAGATTGTGGAGAGTTAACGAGCTAGTTACTCTACTAAGCAGATCATGTTCGTTGGCTCATTCAGGCATTCCCAAATTTCTCTATAACATGGAATTATGTATCCCAGTTGAAAGAAACTAAATATCTGAGAGGTTAAGAGCATTTACTAAGATCATGAATCTAGTGCAAAGTCCATAAGGTAGCAGAGCTAAGACTCTAAGACAAATGCAACTGATTCTACATGCCAAGCTTTTTTCTCATATCTTTTCCATCCCTTGTATATTGTCCACCCATCTGGAAAGACTCAAATAGGGACCAGCCAGGCAGGTAAAAGAAACACACAGAGTAGTTTCCAGTTCTAGATAAAATGTGTGTTCAAGTTTCCTACTATCCCTCAGCTNGAACTCCAAAAGGAGGCTATTGTTTCCCCTCTTCTCCTCAGACCTCTTCATTTTGGGGAGGGAGGTGTGACTGCATAATAGTTACAGGGTTTCTTTTAGGGGTAGCGTAAGTGTTTTGGAACTGAAGATGTTTCTGTAATTTTTAACTTGGTGGGCATTGGGGGTTTCACACAGCACTGCTGTAAAATTTTGGCACCACAGGTGAGTGGCAGTATGCCCATTTTTGCCCCCTTGTTGGTATTTTCCCATGTGAATCACAGCCATGCTGGAGCCACATACAAGCAGTGGCTCTATCCTCTTTATCCATTCATGTATGTGAGGTCTGCTGGCTTATGTGGCTGCCTCTGCCCCTCAGGCAGGCATCCGTGTCTGATACAGCTTACTTCATCTAATGTGTCTATGATACCAGTACCTCTCTGTACAGTTGTTGGTACACCTTTATGAGCTTTACCAATGGTTTCTTTATGTCCAACAATCCAGTTGCAGTTGGGTGTGCAGTTAGGTTTATTTCATGGTTGGAGATTGAGCAGTTTAGTTTTGAGCATATACCTGTTATTCTTTAGCATTCCTTTGTTCCTCAGAGGGAAGATTTATCCCCTGTTCTGTGCATCAAAGTTGGCCAATCCCCATTCACCCATGTCTCATCAGATCTTTCGTTTCCATCTTTGTTGTAAAATATGAATGCTGTGGCTATGTCGAGTCAAGGCTCTGGAATAATCTTTCTTCAGACACCATTCTGCACTGTCTATTCCACATGACCACGTGTAATGACATCAGAATCAGACTGACCTTAAAACTCACAGGTGTAGAGGGTTCACAGGAGTTGAGGGCCAATCAAGGAAAAAACCAAGAAGTGCAGTTATATATGCATGCTTTATTGGGTGACACTTTTACAGGTTTGCATGTGGGAGATGTTCCTCGTAGCAAGAATTTGTTCAGGTGTTATGAAGTGGGGGTCCCTACTCAGAAGGGAAATAAAGCAGGGGAACTCATGGGGGGAAAGAGAATTGAGGAGGTAACTTATGTGTCTAGCTGATGTCACTCAGCAGCCCAGTGGGGGGAAAACTCTGGACCAGGGAGCTCCAAAAAGCAGTGGTAGCTTGGATTCTTTTTGGCCTGTGACTTATCTATTGTTAGAAGATGCTGGGAGCAGTTTCATGGGGTAGGCAAATTAGGCGGGCTCTTAGTGGCTAAAAATCTGCTTATTTGAGCTGTGTTTAAAAAATTGGATGTACAAAAACTTGAGTTTGGAGACAGTAGGATTTGTGAGCTAACAAGTAAAGACATAAAACATTTAGAGGCCACCTTTGCCTCATTTTATATAACAGGACATAATAAACATATCCTAACATTAAGACATTCAGGAGCATACAAGATCACAAACAAAGTATATTATTATGATGGAAACTGTTGTATCTTCAATAAGAGTCTTCATAAGGAACTAGGTATAATGATGTAACCCCCAGGAGTGTAGTCATTGTAAAGGATGCAACCAAGTGCTTACAGGTTATTCCAGAATAGGGGAGTCCCATACACAACAGCATATCTTTTATGAGACCATGAGCATAGATTTCTAATCTGCACAAGGGTGACATTCAGTTACAAAAGAAAGACTTCCCCAAAAGTTTTTATCTCACACTCAGTTCTCAAAACTTGAATGCTATTCACTAATCAGGAGTAATTTTTACAATAAGGATGTTGTCTTTTAACACAATTGATACTCTATATTTATCTCAACCTAGAAGTTTACCAAAATAAATTGACAAGGTAATTGTCCCAGAAAGAAAGAGTTCAGACCTATTGTTAATGATTATCAGAAAGGAGCTCATATTAGACCATGGGAGTTTTCTATAATGCCAGCTTTGAATGAATTGATACTAGTGTGTAGTTTCATTCTCTGATTTTATATTTGTTTTCTAGATCTCATCTTCCTTCTCAAGATCCTTTCTCTCTAAAGTCTGACCGCGCTGAAGAAGCAAGATGGCAGAATCAGATTCTACTGACTTTGACCTGCTGTGGTATCTAGAAAATCTCAGTGACAAGGAATTTCAGAACTTTAAGGACCATCTGGAACGAGAGCCTCCACAGTTTGAACTGCCACAAATTCCATTTCTTAAGCTAAGGAAGGCCAAACGAGAAGATGTGGTTAATATATTAACAACTTCTTATGAAGAACAGCACATCTGGAATATAATATTCAGCATATTTCAAAAGATCCATCGTAAAGATCTCTGTGAGAAGATCGATGCTAGACGAAACCGTGAGTGGGGTCATTAGAAGGGTGGGTAGGGATCAGGGGACAGTTTGCAGGAAGCTTGATTGTTTTGATAGATGACTTTTTCATTCCCAAAGAGTCAGTCTTTAGATATGGAAGTCCTAAGAGGACTGGTGATGGATTGAATGTGGGTTGTGTCCTATCTTGTGACTTTCGATTCTCCTCCTATTTTCTGCCTTCATGCTAACTGGCTTTTATGAATGCAGCCAGCCAAAGGATTAGAACCATTCAAAGAAAGTGCTTAAGCTAGGGTAGATCTCCAGCATGAAGCTTTGTCCTAGAACTGTAAGATCTAGCCAAAGAAATGTATGGGCCTGCACATTCTTTGTATGCAATGAATTATGCAGAGTTATACTAGGTACCAGATTGTGGAGAGTTAACGAGCTAGTTACTCTACTAAGCAGATCATGTTCGTTGGCTCATTCAGGCATTCCCAAATTTCTCTATAACATGGAATTATGTATCCCAGTTGAAAGAAACTAAATATCTGAGAGGTTAAGAGCATTTACTAAGATCATGAATCTAGTGCAAAGTCCATAAGGTAGCAGAGCTAAGACTCTAAGACAAATGCAACTGATTCTACATGCCAAGCTTTTTTCTCATATCTTTTCCATCCCTTGTATATTGTCCACCCATCTGGAAAGACTCAAATAGGGACCAGCCAGGCAGGTAAAAGAAACAAGTCCATAAGGTAGCAGAGCTAAGACTCTAAGACAAATGCAACTGATTCTACATGCCAAGCCTTTTTCTCATATCTTTTCCATCCCTTGTATATTGTCCGCCCATCTGGAAAGACTCAAATAGGGACCAGCCAGGCAGGTAAAAGAAACACAGAGTAGTTTCCAGTTCTAGATAAAATGTGTGTTCAAGTTTCCTACTATCCCTCAGCTCTTGTTATCTTCCAGACAGCTACAACTAGTCTTATGGAAGAAAGAATTCAGGTTGTCTCCAGTAATAGCCCAAAATAAGTTATTGGACATTCACTATAAAACTGCTGCAGATATTTTATAATGGTTTGTTTTGTGATCCCAGTGTTACCATATCTTCTGATGGGACAAGAGATACCAGAGATCTTGAGCGTTTGGTGCATGTTCTGACATTTGATCGGCAACTATTTTAAATAGAACAAAAATGGCTTGTAATTTAAGCAAAACTACCCTATGGGCCAGGTCCAGCTTTAAACTTCTGACATTAAATGAAAAGATACTGCCAAGTCCATGAAGCAGAGTCTGGTAAACAATAGAGAAACTTGGCTAGCCTATGTTATTCATCCACTTTATTTGAAGCTGAAAATTGCTTTTCACTTTCATTTTTTACATATTCACCTATAAGATATTGATAGTTAGAAAAAAATCTATAATGATCTATAATCTATACCATATAGTTAGAAAAAAATCTATAATGATCTATAATCTATACCATAGAATATTCAGACAGTACAAAAAATAAAAATAGAAAAAGTCACCTGAATCTTATGACCTTGAACTATATCTAATGTTAAGAGCTATATCTTTCAGGAATGTTCTAGACAGGTAGGCAGATACAAATGTACAGAAATAAGGTCGTACTATACATTTGATTTTTTTAACCCATTTTTATCTACCAAACTTTACATAAATATTTTCAAATAAGGTTAAAAACATTTTAAACTGTTCCCATTCTGGTACTCCCAAGAAGTAACAATTTATCAGTTTTCACAGGTGGCCTTCCAAGTCTTTTACAATAAATTTGTTAATATTAATATAAATTTATAATATTAATAAATTTATATTATAAATATTAATATATAATATTAATATAAATTTATAATATTAAATTTATATATACAATATATAAAAATATATATAAAAAGCTTCAAATAATAAGTAATATAAATATAAATATATATATATAAAAAGCTTCAAATAAGTTCTGTTAGAGAATCTACCTTTTTCTTTCAGTGAGTCAGGGGAACTATATCTACCTTACTTGCTAACACCTGACAGATGCTGTCCTCATATGAAGAGTCCATTGTTTACATCTGCAATTTGTCCAGGTTGATACATTGCATTCCACTGTGGGTGAGGTCACCAGCCCAACGAAGTGTGTGATGGTGATAGCCAGTGCTTCAAAAATAACACTTTTTGCTAGCTGCTTCTTGAATATTGTCAGTAGTGGGAAAGAGAAACAAAACCTGAAAATCTCCCTGCTTGCTTCTTGTTAGATACTCCCTTGGTTAAGAGCATAGACATGTCATCCAGGCCATCATTCAAATACTAGTTATGTTTAATAAATATGTAACTTTGGGAAAGCTTCTTTTTTATGCCTTTTAATGTGAAATGATACAGCCTTCCTATTTACTTATAAGAAATGAGGATACATGAAAAATTAATCATTCCGACAAAGTAACACATAAGTAGGATGAACAAGTCCAGAGATATAATGTACAACATGAAGACTGTAGTTAATAACGTTGTATTGTATTAGGGACTTTTGTTCAGTAAGTAGATATTTAGCTGCTCTTGTCACAAAAAAGTAACTATGTGAGATAATAGATATGCTAATTTACTTCACTAAAGTAATCATGTTACTATCTCTATGGATCCCATAACATCATATTGTAAACCTCAAACATACACAATAAAATTTACTTAATTTTTTAAAAAAATTATTTTTAATTGACATGTATTGATTGTGCATATTTATGGGCTACAGAGTTATCTGTTTTAATACATGTATACAATGTGGTAATCAAATTAGGGTAATTATCATATTCGTCATTATAAAAATTGATCATTTGTGGTTTTTTTTCTTTTTTTAATTCGATTTTATTTATATTTTTGTGGGGTACAGCATGCTGTTTCAGTGCATGCATATCCTGCACAATAGTTCACTTAGGGTAGACAGCATAGTTTTGTCCCCATTGGTTCACCCCTAATCTTCCCCACACCCCCTCCCTTCTCAGCCTCTGGTAATCATTATTCTACTCTCCACTTTATTTTTTAAATAAGCATTTTTAAAATTTTAACTTCTCAATATACATTAAGGTTGATTTTCGTGTCCCTTTACCCATTCTTTTTTTCCTTCTCCCTCTGTCTCCTCCCCCTCCCCAACTACATCATATCTGTTTACTTGTCTTAACAAGTTCAAGGAATTGTTGTGATTTTGTGTCTTCTTCCCTCCCCCTTTGTTTCTTTGTATATTTATTTTTTTCACTCCCACAAATAAGTGAGAACATGTGGTATCTCTCTTTCTGTGACTGACTGGTTTCACTTAATATGATTTTCTCTAAGTCTATCCATGCTGTTGAGAATGGCAGTATTTCATTCTTTTTTAAAGCAGAGTAGTATTCCATTGTGTAGATATACCACATTTTCCTTATCCATCATTTGGTGATGGACATCTGGGCTGGTTCCAACTCTTGGCTATAGTAAATAGTGCTTCAATAAACATTGGTGTACAGGTATCCCTTCAGCATGATGATTTCCATTGCTCTGGGTATATTCCCAGCAGTGGAATAGCTGGGTCATATGGCAGATCTATCTGCAATTGTTTGAGGAACCTCCATACCATTTTCCATAAAGGCTGCACCATTTTGCAGTCCCACCAACAGTGTATGAGAGTTCCTTTTTCTTCACAACCTCATCAGCATTTATCATTCTCAGTCTTTTTGGATATTAGCCATCCTAACTGGAGTGAGATGGTATCTCAAAGTGGTTTTGATTTGCATTTCCCGAATGCTGAGTGATGCTGAGCATTTTTTCATGTGTCTGTTGGTCATTTGTATATCTTCCTTTGAGGAATGCCTATTCAACTCCTTTGCCCGTTTTTTAATTTGGTTATTTTTTTTTTGCTATAAAGTTGTTTGAGTTCCTTGCATATTCTGGATATTAATCCTTTGTCAGATGTATATTTTATTAGTGATAACAGCATGAGAGTTCGTCTCTTCTAGCCATTTGAGAACATACAACAAATAATTGTTGGTTATAGATGCTTAGCAGTACTGTAGAGTACTAGAACTTATTTTTCCTGTCTAGCTGTGATTTATGTATCCATTTACCAACCTTTCCTTATCCCCCATCCCCTCTTCTTCCCAGACTCTAGTAACCACAATTCTACTCTCTACTTTTTTTTAGCTCCCATAAATGAGTGAGAACATGCTGCATTTATCTTTCTGTGCCTGACTTATTTCACTCAACATAACGTCTTCCAGGCTCATCCATGTTGAAGCAAGTGACAAGATTTCAGTCCTTTTCATGGCTGAGAAGTATTCCATAGTGTATATGTATTGCATTTTCTTTATCCATTCATCTGTCAATGGACAAATAGATTGATTTCATGTCTTGGCTATTGTGACTAGTACTGCAATAAACATGGGGGTGCAGATGTCTCTCTGGTATGCTAATTTCCTTTCCTTTGGATAAATATCTAGCAGTGGGATTGCTAGATCATATGGTAGTTCTATTTTTAGTGTTCTGAGGAACCTCCATACCATTTTCCATAATGCTATACCAGTTTATGTTTCTTACAAGAATGTGTGAGTTCCCTTTTCTCCCACATCCTTGCCAGTATTTGTTATTTTTGTCTGGTTGATAATAGCCATTCTAAGTAGGGTGAAATGTATCTCACTGTGGTTTTGGTTTGCATTTCCCTGATGATTATTTATTTTGAGCATTTATTCACATGCTTGTTACACATTTGTATGTCTTCTTTTGAAAAATGTCTATTTTCATTTGCCCATTTTTATATTTTGTCAAATCAGATTATTTGTTTTCTTGCTGTTGAGTTAAGGTACTCATATATTCTGTGTATTAATCTCTCATCAGAAGAATAGTTTGCAAATATTTTTTCCCCATTCTTCTGATTGCCTCTTTGCTCTGATTGTTTCTGTTACTGTGCAGAAGCTTTTTAGTTTAATCATTCCACATCACACTTTCAAAATATGACTAGTTAATATTTAACTCTACTTCTAAGTATTAATTGAGTAATAGTCAGAGCATATTGCC